CACCACGTCGCGGTGCAAGAGCGTGGCCATCGCGCTCAAGGATGCCGCTCAGACTGACCTCGAGCTGAAGAGGCACACGGCGCTGAAGGCGCTTGATCGCTTGTGCAGTGCGCAGCCTGACTTCGAGTCCGGCACCAGGCAGGAGACGACGCAGGCCCACGTCACCTTGCTGGGCTTTGCGCAGGCGGCGCAGTCCATGGATCTGCCCCAGCTGCAGGTAGCGAGCTTCATCGCCGCCACCATGGCGGACAAGCTGGTGCAGCGGGACGCGGACAAGGCGAAGGCCTGCTTCGCGGACTGGGTCGCCGAGAACCACGCTCGAGGTACGGGGGCCCTCCACTCCTGGACCAAACCTCCGCAGGGCTGGCAAGCCAGGATCACTGGCGGCCCAGGAAGCGAGCCTCGTACGCTTTCCCAGACAGTCCAAGCCCTGGTGAAGGAGTGGTCAGGGTACTGGGGAGTAGGGGCCCCCACGCCGCTGGGGAGTGAGCTCGCACTGGAGCCGCTCGAGTGGCCACGCGATCTCGGTGAGCGACCTGCCCGACCGACGGTCAGCGAGATCAGGGAGGTCATCGCCACTTTCAGGGACTCCAGCGGCTCATCGTTCGACGCGCTGCGACCGCGCGAGCTGGGCGTGCTCGACGACGCTGGGATCGAGGCGCTCATCGACCTGCTGGTCGCCATCGAGCTGCAGTGCGACTGGCCCGCGTTCATCACCAAGATGGCCTTCATCCCCAAGTCGGACGGGGGGCTCCGCCCAATTGCGCTACTGGGGGCGGTGGTACGCATACACGGCAGGCTCCGCAGGCGCATCGCGAAGGACTGGGAGGCGGCGCACGACAGAGACTACTGGTGGGCCAGCTCAGGCAAGAGCTGCGACAGGGCTGTGTGGCAGCAGCAGGCGCGGGCAGAATGGGTCCAGATGATGGGCGAGCTGAACAGAGGCCAGGACTGGGCCTCGGCGTCAGTCATGATGGACCTGTGGAAGGCTTTCGAGCAGATCCTGCACGGCAACCTGCAAAAGGCGTGCAGGCAGCACGATTTCCCGCTGTGGCTGGCCAAGCTGCAGATCTCCCTCTATCGGCTTCCCAGGGTCATCAGCCTGGAGTCGTGCTGCTCTGACGAGCTTGTGGTAACGCAGACGGTCTTGGCTGGGGATACATTTGCCACCACGTTCATGAAGGTCATGCTTCTGACGCCGCTCGACGAGATGAAGGCGGCCTGCCCCGCGGTGGTACCTGCTGTCGTGGTCGACGACGTGGTGCTGCAGCGCTGGGGTGGCCTGAAGCGAGTGGCCAAGGACCTCACCATGGCCGCGAAGGCAGTGGCGAAGGGGCTGGCGAAGGTTCACCTGTCCATTGCCGCCAAGAAGTCGCGCGTGCTGGCCAGCAGCAGAGGCCTTAGGGCCACTCTCCAGAGGCACCTGGGCTCGACCACTGGGGCCATCGGTGTCAGAGAAGTGCGCAACCTCGGCATCGACTACACTGAGGGCGGCAGGCGGTCCAGCGTCGTCAGGCGGCACCGCATCACGCAGAACAGACTCCGCCTTCCTCGGATCCGACGGCTCCTGGGTCTACGCAGAGGAAGGGCCACAGCGGCTAAGATCGTATCGACTGGGCTGGCTCCCAGTCTCTTCTACGGGATCAACTGCACGGGGCTCAACAATACGGAGCTGCAGCAGGCGCGTAGCATTGTGCGGCACGCCATTGAGCCGAATCCCCATGGGAAGTCGCTCACGGCGTGCTTGCTGGTGGGGGGCTCTCCCACCATCGACCCTCTCTTTGCAGCTACGCTGGCGCCCTGCTTCACGCTGGCGCGCGCTGTGTGGGAGAAGTGGGTGCCGTTGGCGCAGCTCATGCCCGCTTTCGAGTGGGTAGCGAGGTCAACTACTTGCTGGGCAGACGTACGCGGGCCGCTTGGCGCAGTGGTCATGTCCCTGAGGAGGATCGGCTACGACCCCAGGGCGCTCGATTGCATCGTCAGGCCGAATGGTACGATCATCAACCTACTGGAGGTCTCCCCGTGGTATGCCAAGCAGTGCATCACGATGGACGTGAAGGCGTGGCAGATGAAGCTCTTGGCAGACGGCACGCACGCTGACGTTCGCAGTGGCATCTTCGTCTAGCAGTTGCGGCGGTGGTTTGCCAAGGGTGTTGGAAGCTCCAGCCTGGCCAAAGGCTGGGAACCCCTCAACTGCAGCCAGCGAGGCTACGCGCGCTCGGTCTTCGTCCTCGGGCAGTGGCCGAACAGCAGGAGGTACCACGGTGCTCCGCGGCTCTCGCATACGCCGTATTGCCAGCTGCACCCAGAGCAGCCTGGCACTCTCTGGCACAGGCACACCGCCTGCCAGGACAGCTGGCCGAGTTTGACGCTGCCAGCCGAGATCAGCAAGCTCGTCCCCTTCAGCACCAGCGTGACCATCACTACGCTCCTGGAGAGGCTGGTCCTGCCCGAGCCCCTACACGAGTGGCGCCCGCCTGGTGACGACCTCCTCGCGCACGTGCAGTGGCTCAAGGGCGGCGACGGTTTCCCGTTTTCCAACACCACGGTCTACTCCGACGGAGCGGTCTACGACGCTGGGACATCGCTGGCGGTGGGGGCTTGCGGAATGGTGCAGCTGCCCGACGGCGGTGACGACTGGGACCCTGGACCTGAGTCGGCCGTTAAGGCGCTAGGCACTCCCTTGCCTGGGCCGTTGCAGTCCATCGACGGGGCCGAGCTCTTGGGGTGTCTGGTGCTCCTCCGCCACAGCCTGCCCCCGATCACCGCGGCCTTCGACGCCACGTACGTGACAAAGGGCTTGACGGCGAGGGGCGAAGCCGGCGCCACCAAGGCGACTTCTGCCTGGGGGTGCATCTGGAGGCGGGTCTGGGCGGCGCTTGACGACTTCGGCATTGGGCCCCAGGGGCTCACGATCCAGAAGGTGAAGGCGCACGCCTCTGCGGCCATGGTTCAGAGAGGAGACATCACGGCCCGCGACAGGCGTGGCAACTGGGAGGCCGACCGTGCTGCAAAGGCAGTCGCTGCCGCAGTGAGGGCACCGCTCGTGCTGCGTGAAGCCTGGCAACGGCGGTCTCTCACGCTGGACGGGGTCGTGCACTGGGTCGCGCGCGCTGGGTGTGAGGCGGCTGACCTGAAGCTGGACATCGACCCGAACTGTAAGCCTATTCACAAAGGGCCGCCTCTCAGCGTCACCAGGCACGACGTGGTCAAGGTGGCTGGTGACGGTGTGCACTGCAGGGCCTGCCTCAAGACGGCCTACACCGACCTCAGCATCAAGAGGCTGCTCAAGGACCCATGCGTCGGCAAGCCGTTCGCGCCCGTGGCAAGCGGCGCGAGGCGCAAGAAAGATGTTTGGCCCTGGCGTCTGCAGGCGCGGTGGCGGTGGCGCTGGCAGCGGCGCACAGGCTTGAGCAGGAGGCCCAGGGCACGCAGGACGACGAGATTGTGGTGTCCTCCGAGCCAGAGGCCCAGCAGATGGCGCCGAGCCCCGTCGTTGCCGCTCGTGAGCCTCCAGCTGAGGCGGCAGCGGCAGGCGGAGGCAGCAGCAGTAGCAGCGGCCAGGACCTCTCGCCTGGCGCTGCCCTCATGCGCGCAGTGGGCGCCGCCCGCGCCGCGCGCGAGCAGCCGGCAGAGGCGTCAGCGGCTGGCGGGGGCAGCAGCAGCAGCAGCAGCGGCCAGGACCTCTCGCCTGGAGCTGCTCTCATGCGTGCGGTGGCCGCCGCCCGCGCAGCTCGCGAGGCTCAGGGCGCCCTGCGCGCGGGCCCCGCTGGCGGCCGGGCGGACGCGGGCCCCACGGTCGCCCAGGACGCCATGGAGGTGGACGAGCCTGGGGGATCAGGCACCCAGGAAGCCGAAGGAGTGGGCCATGCGCTCCTCAGCATCAACGGCTTCAGGATCTGCACGCGCTGCAAGGCGTACGCCAAGGAGATCAATGGCAAGCACAGGACGCTCGGCAAGACGTGCGTCGCAGCCTCAGGCAATGCGCTGCGCCTGCGCAACCTGAAGGTCGCTAACATCAGGGCGGGCTTGGACCCAAAGACGGGCAAGCGCCTGAGTGATTGAGTTGGGGAGTGCCTTCGGTGGTCTGAGCCTGTTCAGGCTCGGCACGGGGTGGATGGTGGCTCGTGCGGCCGCCTCACCTGACGGCGCATGCCCGTGCAGCGCGGCGTGCGCGCTGCTTTCGGAGGCCGCTGTTTGCGGGCCTCTTCGCCGCATTTTGCGGCTCGCCATTTTGGCGGCAGGATCGGTTCGTGCTGCACGGGCTGCCTTGTCATAAAAAAAGTGGCTCTAATCCGCAATGTTTTATGTACGTCTGTTGCTATAGATTCCGCCTCTCCTGGGGCACGAAACCTCCCTAGGAGGTCCCAGGAGGCCCCAAGAGGCTCCTGGAGACCCCAGGAAGCCCCAGTAGGTTTCAGGAGGCCCCAGGAGGCCCCAGGCTCATGCACAAAGACGCGCTCGTACTACTGAGGCTCATTCACACTCCAATTCATTCGCAGTTAGATTTATGTCCAGACCGTCACAACTGAAACCCGTGTATATTCGAAAGCTCTTGCGCCTAGACATTCACGGCGGACAGGTCCATGCGAATAGATGCACATATGGGGAGTTCCATGCAGTGAATAATTTTAATCGTCATCCCGCATTACACACATACCTGTGCAATCTGTTACGGTGGGGACGTTCGATAAGCAAGGTGCCCACGAGGCTTCAGACCCTGGAGGATTCCTTATCTGATGGGGGAGGCGGTAATATCCGTGGCCAAGCCTCATTGGGCGTTCCACCCGCTTTCGGACCCCGGTTTCTTCATCCACGGGTTCCTTGTTCGATGCCCTCACTGTGTGTATAGGTGTATTAAGATGTGTATGCGCATGCGCGTGGATTATTTGGTAGTTGCGTGTGCAGATGCATGAAGCGAGGGCCACGCCCTGTGCCCTGTGCCACTCGCACTTGCAGTGGTCCAGGCCCGTCGCCAGGCATTTGTTGGCTCTTCTGAGGCCCGCCGTTTCCCCGCCTGCGCTGGCCGCACGGTCCGGCGGGCTTCCTGGCGACGCGGGAGTGGTGCGACCACCTGCTCCTGCGGGCCGACGGTGCCGCTTGGGCGGTCTGCAGAGCAGCGAGTGAAGCCCTGGAGAGAGAGGGACTTGAGCGTGAGCGAGGAGGAGGAGGAGGAAGAGGAGGAGAACCACCATCAGCTTTACCCCTATCCCTCCTCCCGTTCGAGGTTCTGACTAAGTTTGTGTGTCCCCTGCTTCCTCCCTCCTCCTCCTCCAGTCCGTCACCCTTCGTTTCTTGTTGCGAATCTTCTCCCTGCAGCCGGTCACACCAGTCACCCTGGCTGTCTAGCTTGATCAGCCCGCCAGGGCCGGCAGGCCTTGGGGGGGAGGGCCGCGTCGGCACGACACTCCAGCCAACATGCAGGAGGAGGAGGAGGAGGAGGAGGAGGAGGAGTAAGCCAAATATGCATCAGCGATGCTGCAATTCACCCTCCAGTCCCAAGGTCCCCTCCGCATGCGCTCCGACGTCCTCCTCGTCACTACAAGAGGCCCCCCCTTCCCCCTCGGAAGACCAGCACCGTTGGGCCTACAATTGTGGCCAGGGCCCTGCTCAGAAATGGAACTGCCCTGCATGTTTCTGGCGCGTAGTCAGGGACGCGAAGCATACAATGAGCATACGGCTCAACGGGGTCTACAGCGATGCCCCCCTTTCGAAAAAGGACCGCCCCCCCCAATTCGTGCAGCTGTTGCACGCTGCATTTGTGGCCATAAACTTCCAGGAACTCAGAAACGACGGCTCTATCTTTTTAATGAGCTGGCATGGATCCGTACATCTCTACATGCATTGAAATCTCAGATCCTCGAACGTAGCGAAGTTTCAGGCGTGGATACAATTTTGACGGTGCTAACCGTTGCTTTAAACACGAATGCGCGCGGCGCTGAAGCAGGAGCGCCATTTTGAAAAGGAACTGCCTTCATCCTTGAAGCGATTGCGAACCTTTGAGAAGAATGCGCGCGGCTTTGGGGCAAGACCACCACTTTGGAACTACCCCCCTTCCATCCGCGAAAATGCTGCGCACGCTTCATACGAATGTTCGCGGCGCTAACGCGAAAGCCAGATTCTGAGAACGACCCCCCTTCCAACCGTGAATGTGCTGCACATCTTTAAGAGGAATGCTTCTGGCGCTAAGGCGAGAGCCGCATTTTGAAAAGGAGCTTCCGTCCACCCGTGACAGTGCTGCACACTTTTTACAACACGTGTGCGCGGCGCTACTGCGAGAGCCACATGTTGAAACCGACCCACCTATCCGTGACGCAGAAATTTCTAAGACGAATGCGCGCGGTGTTAGGGCGTGAGTCACATCTTGAAAAGAGCCGCCCTCCATCCGTGAAGGTGATACAATTATCTAAGATGAATGTGCGCGGTGCTAACGAGAGAGCCACGTGTTGGAAGTGCCCCCTCCTCAATCCGTGAAGCTGTTGCCATCTTTTGAAACGCACGTGCGCGGCGCCCAGGCAAGAGCCACATTTTGACACGGCGCCGCCCTCCATTTGTGCAAGCGCTGCACATTTTCAGTTCCAGAGAATGTGCGCGGCGAGAAGGCGCGACCGACATTTTGAAAGCGACCCCCCTTCATGTGTGACACGGGCGCTAAAACTTTCCGAGACGACGGTGCGCGGCGCTCGGGCGAGCGCCACGAATTCGAGCAGGAGTTGCGCCCTCCCTCCGCGGCACCGCCGTGCACGTTTACAGACCGACCGTGCGCGGGGCCCACGGCGTTGACACCGACCCCCGCTCCGCACGTGAAGCTGCTGCCAGCTGCAGGCTCCAGGATCACAGGTGGTGCGGAACGCTTGGGCGAAGCGCCCGGTCCGCCTCGTGCACCGGCACGCCTGGGGTGCGACAGGGGGGAGCTGTTCAGAAGGGAGAGTGATGGAGAGGAGGAGGAGGAGGAGGAAGAGGAGGTGAAGTCGCCAAATGCATGCCACAGCGGCGAGTTCGTCCGTCTCCGTCAGGCGCCGTCAGTTTCCATGCTGGTGGCAGAGCAGAGGCAGACAGGCATTGGTCGAAACATCGCCTGCTTGAAGTCAGATTGGGGATGCTGTGGTCAGCGTCTTGGGGGGAACAGGCCGACTCGGGCCAGATGTCGGGTCCCGGACGGGCCCAGAGCACTTGTGCTTCCCGATTTTGCCCTTGCGAACAGTGCCGACGTCGAGAATGTAGGCCCGCGCGTACCCCCTTCGGGTTGCAGATGGGAGTTTCGATTCTCGAAGCTCACCCGGACCTTGTTTGTGCGTTTCCGCGTCGCGTGCTGATCGGGGGGGTGGGTTGACAGTCTGTTCCATATGCCAGGGCTTGACGCAGCTTGGGAGCCCGCAGAGATGCGAGCAGAGACAGCAGCGAGCGAGCGATGTGTATAACCTGTGCTCGAACGGGTCCGGCCAGCGCCTCCTGACACCTCGCAGGCCTCCGAAGCCCTCCGGCTTCTTATCCGAAAGC